TCATAAAATATGTATGTGGGGTAATCAGGTTGTTAGTTTTTAACTGTTGCAAATCGGCAACGCCTGCCTCGAGAGGGTTAAATGTTCACACTGGCAGGCTACAGGGCGTGGCCAGATGGTAAGCAGGCAGCAGTAAGAGAACAACTGAGTGATGGATGGACACAGACAGAGAGAAAAAAACTATTTTAGCGTGTGGTTTACAAAGAAATGTGTCAGAATTTCTGTGACAAGAGTCAATTGATTTGATCTCGACGTGACAGAGCGTCATGCACACTGCAAATGTCTAAGGGCTCATGCATTAAGTGCTGATAAGTGTTTGCTTGCCCACTCAGAGATGCTGATATGAATCTGTAGATGACGGTTAACTCTGAGTGAGGAGCCCGTGTGGCTTAAGACCGCTCACATCACATGATTTTCTTTAACCATGTTCTATTCTATTCTTCATGTTTTATTTTGCGCATGCATCAAAACTAAAACCTGAAACTGAGCCCCACAGCACTGTTAGTGCGCAAATCCATCTTCATTAAAACGAATCAAATCCTATACAAGAAAACCTTGAAAACCGAGGGTTTCAAAGAGTGGCCCGCAGGCCGTGGCAGGACTCGTTCATATTTCATGCAGCCCTTGAGTCTGACAAGAAGAGAGAGCTCTCTACTGTGCATTTTATTCACTCACAGTTCACACCACATGTGTGATACAGCAGCACACACCATGACCCCAAAGATGTTGTTTCTTTTCTAGCTTCTGTTTTAGCCATCAGAGCCGACTAAACTGTCTTAACTCATGGCGGAAAAACTATAAAGCAGTACAAGAGTGGACTAAAGTAAATAAACACAAATGCTAACACAAAATGCCACCATCTTCCGAACAATCATAATCATAACGATAACTAAAAGAGTTTTATGTGTGTAGTTTCCTGCCCAGCTTTCAACCATGTGCTGACTCCTTAAACTGGCACTCAGGGATACCTGCAGCAAAGAAATATGTCGTGCAGAAATAGACTGTAAGTTCAGGGTAATTTATTACTGTAGAAGTACAGGGTTATTATACAGTAATAGGGATTATTAACACGTAGAGATCATTTATGACAGTTGCCCGTCTTCTCCGGTGTGGCATCCTATTAAATTCACCTGAAGGTCAGACCGTGCAATGCTCAGAGAAACTGCAGAAAACCCAAGAGCTACATTTAATACCTACACCTCAGTTAGCATTAAATGATACAGTACGATTATAAAAGGACTGAATGGCTTGTATGGATCAGTTGCCAGGAGAAGCCAGAGCTTAATTTTGCAAAGTTGGATGTGAACAAACCACAAGACTTCTGGAACAATGTTCTCTGGACAGATGAGACCAAAGTGAAGGTGATTGGCCGTAATGCACGGAAGGATGATGATTCGGGCTTGAGAACTGGGTACTTTGCATTACTGAACTCCTCTGCAAGTATTCTAGAGTCAAATGTGAGGCCATCTGTCTGACAACTAAAGCTTGACCCAGAGTGGGTCATGCAACAGGACAATGATCCCAAACACAGCAATGAATCTACGACAGAATGGCTGAAAAAGAAGAAAATGAAGGCATCGGAATGGCCCAGTCAAACTGCCCAATCTCTGTGTGACTTCATCAGTTTGAAGAAATACTTCTGCTAAAGGTGGGTTTTCAAGCTAGTGAATCATAGGATGTACTTTCTGCTTGATGTTATAGAGCTGATAAACAATGACAGTATGACATTTGTTGTCGTTCATGTCAGGTTGTATTTGAATAATTTGAACACCTTCTAAAGAGCAGATGATCTTTAAATGTGCTGACATGCAAAACCTTAGAAGTGAAAGAGGCTGCACTTTCTTTTTCGCATTACTGTGAATAGGGTCTTGCAGTTAGGGCATTTATTTTTAGGTTCTTACTCTCAGATCATATCAAACTCATTCTGTCTTTAAACGTGCCTTGTGACTAGCTTTTGTAAAGGCCTCATTGAATCAGGCACTGCTGTAACTTGAGCGGGCTAACGTGATTCGTGTATTTTAACTTAGATGGCATAAAAATGTACAAGAAACAGGATCAGTTACAGTCAGTGATGAGGCTAAAACGTTGTACTGCGGACTCCAGCCTCGTCAGTGATGGTAAAAGACTAATCTTGTTCCTGGTACTTGTCCACTTTAGAAAAAAATGTGAAGTGTTTCTGTTTCTGGTGTGAATATCTCAAGAAGCCCTTTCACTTCTTCATGTCTCCTTTCATACACACAGCTTTGCTTTGTCTGCACGGAGACTTGCATCGATCATGACGCCTTTTTTGGAAGCAAAGACAATAAAATGGCCAGTTGAGACACAATTAACTTGAGTAAAGCAAAACGCATGTAATCCAAGGCAACGGCTCTGTCAAGTCGTTACATCACCACAGCCAAATTCAAAGGTGCTCTTTAGACCAGCACACATTACAAACATGTACAGAGGAAGTGGTTTTCAGGCTCTGTGTGTACAAAAATAAAGACTGACAAGCTTACTTGAAGTCACCAAACTCTGAGCACAGAAACACACTGAAAGACAGCAAAAACGGCGGCAATTAGGAAAATATATCTTCCACTGATTCATAACAGCCATCTTACTGTTTGCCATTCACAAAAACAAGAAGAAATGAGTCAATCAACCCTCCCTTCCAACATCTGATTGAACAAAAGTCGACTACAACCTCCACAGCATTCTGCGTTTCACATTATCACAGAAAACTTGTCTCTTAACACCAAATACAAAACAAAAAAAGCACACTCCTCCCCCATAACACATTTGTCACGGTTCAACGACTTGTTGCTGCCAGTCAGAGTTTTGCATTTCAGTGTAATTGTCTCCATGTCACGCTTTATAATAACCGAGAACAATGAATACATAAAGCACATACGTTGTTACTTTGTTACTTACATTCCCTGCGAGTGCAGCAGCCAAACCCACCATGAAATGTCATTTCCCTGACATGAACTCGCTTTTATTCAGCACTACTTCTGCATTTAAAACAGTTCGTTGTGTTATCAGACCTCAAATAGGAAAAAAAAAGAAGGAACTACATTTAAGTGACGTGTGCATGTCAACATTTAGACCCACAAAAAACGCTTGGTTGCTAGAGACAATTTAAATGATGCACGCGACTTCGAGCTTGGGAACGCAGAAAGCAGCGAAACTGGGAGAGGAAGCAGAAGAGAGGACACACTGGGAAGTGGGAGACACTGGCAGGAAACTGAGAAAAAAATAAAGAACTAAGATTTCTTTTTTTAAAAAAAATAGTATAAAAGTAAATGCAAAGTAAGTCATTAAATGTAAAGTTGTTTTATTGCATAAGAGTTGTCAAAATTGAATCGACTGAGTAGCAGTTGATTAAACTGGTCAAATTCTAATAAAATATGACTATCAAGTGGGCCGTCATAGCAAATGCCGTAATGGTCCAATTGGGAAAGTGAATCTGTCGGGCGTTTTTTGGCCGTCGGACAATGATTCTGATCGCCACACTGCCAAATAGGACGGGGGGAAAGAAAAAAAACTGAGTAGCAGGCAAAGACTAAGATCAAGGACCTGTTAGGAAACAGAGTCATTATTTAGTGTTAGTGGGAAGCTTTACAGGGAGATCCTTGAATGATTTGATCAATCATCTGGACTTCATTTGACACACACTGGACGCTTGATGTCACATAATAACAGCGAGAGTCATTCAGTGATGTCTGCTCCTACCCCAGCAGGTGTCCCACAGATAGCAGCGTGAGCCCCCTCTCTGTCCCAGGCTCCCCCGGGGCACCAGGCCTCCTGGCAGCCTTTCAGCTGATCCAGCATTGACAGTTTCCTCCTGCTGCTCCTCCATGGGATGGCTGTTGTCCCATTAACTGAACTGTGAACAGCCCTGGACACAAACACATTGACATATTTTTGTCTACATCTATGGACATCAGCTGTAGATAATACAGAAGGTCCATTCTGACAAAGTAAAAAAGACAATCTGGGTAGTTAACAGTGCATAATTCAGCAAAAAAAAGTATACAAAACTAAGAAAGTTTCCTCTAAGATTTGGCTTCTGGGACAATCATTTTTAATAACTAGACATCAAACTCAAGACAATGTTAGACAGAGAATTAAACACAAGCACATTAGTGGTATAGAAATAGCTGATACTCACATGTGTCGAGCTGGCTCGGTTAGTTGACGTATCTTCCCTCCTTTACACTGTTAGCAGATTCTACACATATTGCAATCTCCCCACTCTTGAACTCTTCCTTTCTGTGCAGTGCAAAGTGTTGCTTAAGAGTTCAGAATAGCTGAAATAGGAAGCTGTCATCTTTCTCACTAACACGTCGTCAAAAGGTTTCGCGGCAAAATTTTCTTAAGTTTCTCAAATTCAGGTATTTGATGTACGTGCTCGTCTGCTTCTGCCTCCTGCTCACGCTGGCATTTAATGTAGTTTCAATTTTCATGTGAATGTTCACGACACCTTCTTCACCCTTCCCTCCCCCCCTCCAAGTCTGCCTGTGGTTAACCCAGCTCTGACTACAGCGTGGAGAGAGAGAAAACACTGCATGTTCTCTAAAGAGCTATGTGCCTATTTTCTTACTCTCTCTGCAGCACCTTTCTTCTGATCCGATTCTGAACTGTAAAACCATCAAAGCAAAGAACAGACAATGGTCTGAGAATGCTTCACCGTGTCTTCATCTCTGTGACAATTATAGACAAACATCGTCTGATTAAAGTAAGATCACACGGATGGTTTTACTTTTCATGTGTGAGAACTCGCTCACAGCGGAGGATGGACAAAGTCATTGACGTTCAGTTCCAACAACTGGTGAGAAATGCTGAGTGTGGGATGAGTAAATGGATAAATAAATAAAAGCATGCACAGTGAGATTATTGAAAAAGTCTGAAAGATCGATTAGTGATATAAACGTTTTTTGTTTTTTTTTCTAAAGACCAGATTATAAGAAATATACAGTAAGAAAAATGTACACAAATGAAGGAAATTATTGTCAGAGTGCGGCTGGTTATCCTTTAAAGCCTGATTTCCTTGGAGTTCCTGGGCTGGCTGATCCCTCTGGATCCACCCCTGGATGAAGTTTCACCTGGTTTCCTCCTTCCTACCTGTTTAAGATTATTAATCATTATTATATCTGCACCAATTCTTTGCCAGGTCGTCATTGCCAATATGGTGAACTTTAGGTCACTTTTGTAACTATTATTGTTGTTTATGATGATCTGTCTGTAATACTCCTGTCTCTCTCCCTGCTCCCAGCTCTCTTGGAAATCTTGCCTCCTTGGAAACACACTTGTCAGCTGCCTGTGGAAACCTCCAGCTCATCACCCACTCTCTGTAACGTGTCAAGAAGAAGGAGGACTCACCTGCTCACCAGCCTGCCCACCCTCTCCCTGTTGCTAGCTTTTGGCTTGCCACCTGCCACCCACAGACGCCCTCCATGACTCCATTCATCTACAGTACAAGTGTTGTAGCTACATTTACATTTTACAAATTCTCTGTCAATACTATGCCTCTTCTGAACTGCTGTTAACTCTGTATCTCCTCTCTGGCAGAGCTCCTCTCCACTAGTTCTTCACAGTGGTCACAACAAGAGCGCAACAAGCTACCCTAAAACAATCCAATGGTAAAAGCAATACACCTGCAAATATCAGGTGAGGGATAAAATGCTCTACAAAAA